CCTCAAGATGCCAGGAAGTGGCGGAGTCATCATGGTGCCCTGTGAAGAGAAGGACGCGGTGTGTTCCCTGGAACGAGCCTTTCAGGCCGCATCGCTGGAAGACCCGGATCGCGAAAGCAGGAGGCTTCCCGAGACCGCCCCCAAGAAGAAGAAGACATCGTCCGGCCTGGCCCCTCAGGCCAGGGGGAACCTCCTTCCATTGCATAGGAAAGCGCGCCCGACGCCCTCCTCAGGCAGGGCTCGGGGGCTCTCCCCTAGAGGGCCACCAACCTGGCTAAGGTCACGAGGGAGGCGCTTGGGCACCACATGGAGGTGTGTTTCGAAGCACGTTTCCCTCAAGAAGGAGTAAGGCAAGGAGGGCCAGACCCTCAAGAGTTCGTCAGCAAGGCCATTCAGGAGCTACAGGAGTCAAGAGTCATGAAAGGCGGCCGCCGCCTACCAGCTCTGGCTCCCCATCCAGGCGAGGATGGTGGGCTGCGCGTCTGCATCGACATACCAGGGCTCAATCGAGTCGCCTCTCTGGAGCGCCTCTGGCCCTCGCGAGTGGGGCGCTGCGAAGGTCCACCCCACAGCTACGTTCGCATGCCTTACGGCTTGCCGAACGCGGCTGCCGCGTACTAGCGCCTCATGAGGGGTATCATGGAGGCTCAAGAGGCCAGGCGTTCCGCGGCCCTGGCGGAGATGGAGATGGTCCGCGAGGAGCCACCAGCGCCTCCGGAGCCTCCCGAGGCCCCTGGGCCTGGGGGGCTCGTGAGGATCGGCTTCCGCAGCCCACCGAGTCTGCTACAGCAACACTCCTTCGTCCTCAACATCATCAGGTGACATCTTTCAAGTTTCATTTCCAGCTGGGAGCGCCCCCCAGGGCTGCATTATTCCCAGGCCGCGTGGGTCCGTCCCTGCGGCATGTATCCCTTTTATTTCATGTTGTTAGCTTACTTTGTTGGGGGCGCCCCACGGGCTGCATCATCCCCAAGTCGCTCGGGCCTGACCCAGTGATGTCCGCCTTCCCAGCATCTATTTGAATGAATCCACTCCTTTGCGGCTAATGTGTTTGACCTAGTTGCCCGCTCAACTGACGCCAACTGACGGAGCTGCTCCCAAACGGCACGACGCTTGCGCATGGGTCCATCCCTGCAACTAGGTCACTTGCGGGGAAGTCTGCCCAACTTCGAGGCCCAGCTGGGAATGCCTGTGAAGATTATCCTTTTTGGAAAAGGCCCAGAGTCTGTGAAGAAGGCGAATGCCTGTGAAGATTATCCTTTTTGGAAAAGGCCCAGAGCCTGTGAAGAAGGCGAATGCCTGTGAAGATTATCCTTTTTGGAAAAGGCCCAGAGCCTGTGAAGAAGGCGAATGCCTGTGAAGATTATCCTTTTTGTAAAAGGCCCAGAGCCTGTGAAGAAGGCGAATGCCTGTGAAGATTATCCTTTTTGGAAAAGGCCCAAAGCCTGTGAAGAAGGCGAATGCCTGTGAAGATTATCCTTTTTGGAAAAGGCCCAGAGCCTCTGAAGAAGGCGAATGCCTGTGAAGCTGTCGCGTTTGGGAAAAGGCCCGGAGCCTGTGAAGAGGGCAAATGCCCGTGAAGCCTGCTCCCCCCAAGAAAGGCCCGGAGCATGTGAAGAAGGCCAACGCCTGTGAAGCTCGCCGCCCGTGACACTCTCACGTAATAATGAGTTGGGGCTGTACACGCCCCGGAGTCTCAGGAGCGCCGGCCTCTGGCCCTGGGGCTCCCTCCCACGCCAGTGGCAACACTTAGCTTCGCGCTGGTGAGAAGACGTCGAAGACTAGATTAGGTGCCGGACGCGGCTTTTTCATTTGCTTTCCGCAGTTGGCTTGTTCATTCTCATTCGAAGTTTTATTGAAGCTGTTGCCATCTTTGACTTGTGGTTCTTCGACTTTTCACTCTCCCGCCTCGATTTCTCTTATGCAAGGCCTCGCGAGGGGGGCAGTCGAGCGCCCTCGTGAGTGTTTCCGTCCTAGTCGTTCAAAGGTTTCGCGACCTGGGTCCATTACATGAGCACCCCTCCAGTCCGTGCCCCATGGGCACCACGACACGAACACAGGGCCTGGGTCGGTCGCCCCCCCACGGCTGGGGCCGGGAACTATCCACGCGCGGGCACGTAGCCGGAAGGCACGATAACGGAAGCAAAGCGATGATTAACAGCAATAACCCAAATACGCCCCCGCGGGGCTCCACGCTACTGTCTTTTTACGCAGGAAAAAGGAAAAAAAAGAACAAATCAGGCGCAGCTCGCCTCACACCGGCCTGTAGGGAAGACTCGAGCTGCCTCCGGGGCTCAGGCAGACTCCCTCTCGCGCTTCACCGAGGCGCGACGGCGGGCAGACGCGCTACCACCTCCCAAGCAGGTACGACGACGTGGAGGCTGACCACGACCACCGCTAGAAGAGTTGCCGCCTGAAGAAGAACCGGTGAAGCTTGGGGAACCCTGAGCGCCGCCAATCACGCGAGCGCTGTCCTCTCCATCATCGCCGAGGCTGGCTCCCCGGCCGCGGTCGTCGTCCTCAGGGCAGCACCCTGCGCGGCGACCATCTTCCGCAAACACCCTCACGTAGAGGGTGGCATCACCGTCAAACTTAAAATGCAGGGTGCACCGACGGCTCAGGCCATGTGCGCGGGCAAACGTCTGCCAACCGCGGGTCAAGGCCAGGCTCCCGGCCGCGGAGACCTCCAGTGGAGCCCATGAGGCCCGGCTGCAGCAGCCGTCTGCCTGAAGCCAGAGGCCGCCCGGGGCGCCGGCCGGGAGCTCGCCGAGGAGGAAGCGAGGAAGTTGAAGCCGGGTGCTAGTCGGCTCAGCCGACCACACAACGAACTCCGGCAGCACCTCTGTAGCGCGAAAGCGCGGCCTAGGGGAATGCGCGACCGAAGCGCGCCCCCCGGCCGCAGCAGTCCGCCCGTCACCGTGCTGGAAATCATCTCCACGGCCGCGGGGAGCTGCCGTGGAGGCCACAGGATGTTTGCGAGGGCGCCCTCGGCCGCGCTTGGGCTGGGGAGAGGCAGGCTCAACCTGGCGAGCCTTCCCCTTCTCTGCGGCCGAGAACCTCCTCGACGGAGCCATGAAGAAGAAGGAGAAGCAAGGGGGGATGAACTGGAAGGGCGTGCGCCGCTCCGTACTTATAGCCGACGAGGGCCAACCGTCGGCCCCCACGATCGTAGGTAATCATGACCTGCTTTGCATGCAGGGACTTGTCCAATCCGTGCAGTTGCCGAGGCGCCGTGGGGAAGTGGAGACGCCCACGTCCAATCAACCGCCACGCGGCGCCCAAGGCCGCAGGCTGTTAGGGCCCGCGGCGCTTCGCTCTTGCCCTTTCGCCTCCCTGCACGGCCAAGTCCGGGCGCGCCTTAGCCCCGGGGGCTACTGTCGGCGTTCTGGGAACGGGGGTCCCCAGACTTGCCTGCCTGAGGCCTGCAGCGTGGCTCGAGGAGGGGCCAGCACGGCCCATCTTCATCAACACAGACCCAAGACCCTCGCGAGGGGCCAAGCCTCGCGGGGCGGACGACACAGAACTTTCTCAGGCACGGCCTCATCAGGCTGGCTCGCGAGGAGGCGGAGGGATCAAGGTGGGGTACCTCACGAGGTGCCCGTGACGCAAGCCATGACGACCAAGGGCGCCAGGCGGGCGCCAGCCCGCGCAGTGTCTTCCTTTCCTCTTTGGTGCAAAGGGAGCAAGCGCAGGCGAGAGCATCAAGTAAAGGCACCCGTGTCGGTGCAACGAGACCAAGACCAGTCCAACAGCAGGAAGGAAGTCATTGTGGAGCCCAAGCCAGCGTCACCACCAGAGCCTTTGGCAGGCGAGGACCAACTTTAGTCAGGATAAGTGTACCAGATGTTCCCCTTTAAAATGATCAATTGTTGGCGCCCTTTCCGCTCAATATTTGGGAAGAGGCCCAGGGCCTTTGCCTATAAATAGGACTAGCCACCCCCGGGGTAGGGCGGCAATCAAGAAGGGAGAATCTAGAAGCCAAGAGAGAAACTAGCTAGGATCGGATCGGGTAGCATCACACAGAGAGAGAGAGAGAAGGGCGACTAAATTCCTCCTAGCAGTTCATCCCCTCAGCCAAGAACAGACCCTCGCGAGGCTGTTCTTCCTTGTATTGCTCAGCATCATCAGCCCAAGAGGCAATCCACCACACCACACACTAGAGTAGGGTATTACACCACAACGGTGGCCCGAACCAATATAAACCCTGTGTCTTTTGTGCTGTTCTTTCCATAGCTTAGATCTTAGCGAGGCGGGGGGAGGGGGGGTGCAGGTAGGTAGAAGGCGAAATCTTCGCGCGCACCCCAGTGTTCGAACCTCAAGGGTCTGCCGGAACCCGAAATCCGACAGAGCTTGATGTCAAACTCAGAAATATTCTGCTATCTTTTTAATTTTGTCATGTCGGTTCTTACGTGACTTGTACTTTGTTCTTTATGATAGGAATGAGACATGTATTATCATAAAAAAAAGACGAGTTAAGGCACTCCGATGTATTTAACTCAAAAATATACTCCCTCCTTTTATCTACTCCCTCCTTTCTGATTTATATGGCTCAATTCAAAAATCTCACCAACCAAGATAGATGGTGAGTGATGGAATGATTTTTGTAGTTTGTAAAACCATATAATTAATGTGCTTGTTTTTCTCAAACAATTGTGTATACCAATGCATTAATTGCAGTGCATGCATGCATAAAGTATATGCATTGGTCAATTTTCTTTTAATATTTACATGCAATGATTTAATAATTTTAAAATCTAAACATGTGATGGAGAACAACCAAATTGAGCATTATAAAACGAAAAAACTAAAATTCTGAGATGAGCCTTATAAACCGACAAGGAGGGAGTATATACGACCTAATGCGTTTTTCTGGACATCCTTTGACTATTGACGAGATTATATAACAGTACAAAGGCAGACGACCGAAGCAGCGGGATAGTCGCGGTTACCACCGAAAGAAGTCCTCACTGCTACCAGTCTACCATCACTGCTACCCTCGCATGGAGGCGGACGGCGCCGCCGCCGCAGCGGCTACAAAGGGGAGGGAGGCGGAGATCATGGAGGCCCTCCGCGCCCGCGTCCCCTTCTTCAAGAAGCAGGCCGAGTGAGCGCCTTCTCCACCTCTGCTCGTTTCCCCTTCTCGGACTATGGTTGTGCGGGGTCTATGCCTTCTAGGGTTTTTGTCTGGCGACGCGCGGCGCGCGGCGCGAGTTGCTGTCCGAGGGTTTCGGCGACGGGGATGGGCAGCTTCGGAGTTCGAATTTCAGTCTGTCGCTCGTTGGTGTATGCTCTATTGTTCTGGAACCGAGGGTTTTGGTCGTCTGGATTCAATTTAGTCTGTGCGATGATGGTGGTCGAGGCAAGTAGATGCAACAGGCTGCATTGATTCCAGGTCCGTCCAGAATGTGGCACAGTACCTGTAGCTCCTAAGATTTACTCCCTCCGTTTCAAAATAGATGACCCAACTTTATACTAATCATCTATTTTGGAACGGAGGGAGTAGGTCTTAAGGGGGATGGAAAGGAAACTCTAGGGTTTTATCCTTTAGACAGAGGGAACTGGAACCTCGTGGGCGGTTAATTGTTGTGTACTGCTGGCTTTGTCGATTTTGTGGGCACTTCATTGCTGTGTATGGGTACATGTGTTAGCCAGAGGGAATGGACCTTGGTGTCCTGTAATGCAATGTGCATGGTTGGTTCTTCCTCTCCGCGGTGTTCTGCAAAGCTGTTGCAACTTGCAAGTGCTATACCAAATGCAGCCATTAAAGGTTAGTAAGGCCTAGGAAGCAGTTTTCTTGTGAGCAGGCGGCACTCGAAGAGATCATGACAACTTAAGGTGTTTCTGTAGACCTGAGTGCGTCGGGTAGTACCATCCATCTATGCTTTCTAGTCTAGAAGTAGAGGCCAGTGTTTTCTTCTTCCTTAAAGGAATTTTGGACGATTTGTGCCCTCTTATTTTGCTTGGCCAACGCAGAAGAATATAATACCGATGTTTCCCCTTTTCAGCTCCTTGACTCTTGAAGGTGTGAGGAGAACATTGGAGAAGGACATGGACTTGAAGATAAATTCACTTGATCCTCATAAAAAGTTCATTAGGCAATGTGTAGACAAGGTATGATGGATGATAATGTACATGGGCTTTCCGATGATGCAATAATTAACATGGAGAAAATACCACAAGTGCAATTAATGGTTCCTAATGTTAACGATATTTTATCTTAACTTTGTTAAATGTTACTTCTATTATTTACAGAAGCTATTGGGCTAAATTATATAAAGGTATCCGTGGCCTTTATTGTTTTTGACTGCATGGAAGGTTAATTGTATTTGTTTATCTGCTAAGAAGGTAGCACTGATTATTTTGCAAATAGTGTATTCTGCAGATCGGCTTATCTTTTGACTAAGAAAATGAAGTTATTTATCTCGGAATTGTAGACTATTCCTGCATAGTCCTTAGTAGGTCGTAGGTGCCAACCTGCCGCCTGCCTAGCTCTTACTCTCTTCAGAGCACTGCATTTTTTTTCTTATTCCAAAAGTGTTATGTCTTACTACAAAAGTAAGCATGGACGATTGTCTCCAATTTAATCAAGTTTATTTAAAAAGTAGGCATTGTAGTTGACTAATTTATCTTCTTTTGTAATGCAAAGTTGACTGATTATCTTCATCAAAATAATAATGTGACTACTTACATGAATGTGAAAACTGAGTACCCATAACGTATTTAATATTTTGTGAAGACACCATAATAACATTTACTTGATATAACACACATGTCGTAGAACAAGCACTTTATAGTCCATTAACCTGTACCTATGACTAGTATTGGTTCGATTGCATGACTAATTCCAAATTTTTGATACACGCATGGCTAAGCACTCTAGGCCATGCAGTAATAAGCAGTAGTTTTTATGCTATATCAGATGACTTGTCACTGAGAATGAAATCTGCTTAACTTAAGTGGCTGTTTGGATTATGACTATATTTGCCATATATTGCCACATGATTTTTGCCACACTTGCCACACTTGTCTTACTTGAGTTGTTCAAATTGTTAGCCACACTTTGGCTTGCCTAAAGGAATCTTGCCACACTTTTTGTGTCTATGACATGTGGGGTTCACTGCTCATAAAAAAAATTCTTGCCTTAGATGTGGCTAGAACCAAATACCTAGCTAACTTGGTCAAACTTGCCTAAGGTGAGGCGTGGTAAGGTGTGGCTAGGAACCAAACAGCCCCTAAATGCATGGAGATCACCTTTTTCTATTGATTGAATATCAATGAGCAGGAGCCAGGAGGATATTTAGAGATTATCATTCATATGACAAGTTAATAAGTGAGAGATGAATGATCAGGTGCAGTATGTACTTAAGCTAGATAAATTTAATTGCACTTGTATAGCTAATATGTTGTTACTTTCAACCGTTAAACCTTTGTGTTCATGATTTTGGTCAATTCGTTGTTGAACTCAAAATTTCTGCGCCCAGATTTTGTAACTGGGGAACTTTAATCATATATATTTTTTATTTGATAAAATATTGTGATAGTTCAGATGTTAGTTCCCTTAAGTTTTGTTTGGAAGTTTAGAAAATTAGTTCCATTAGTATAATACTCCCTCCATTCCCAATTGTTAAATTACTAGTTTTATCCCAATTCTACAGGAAATTGTGCCGATATTTTACAACATCAAATATGTATAGTACGGAAATATATTTTATGATGGATCTACTAAATTAATTTTGTTTTGTATACGTGGATGTACTTTTTCTGTAGACTTGGTAAAAAGAAGTTTGACTTAGGACAAAGGTAGAATTTCATTTAATTTGGAGTGGAGGCAGAAGTATTTTTATTTCTTAATTTCAGATAGAACCTGCTAGGTTTGTATTCATCACATACTATTTACTCAGATTTCTGTAATGTTCACTTTTACCATCCGTTGTGCACGATACCAGGTGTTTTCTGGTTGTGACAATGGGAATACTGATAATGCATCAGAGAGGGCTGAAGCTAAAGTGGATAACTTATCAGAAGATGCCCAACCAATGTCGGTCTCAAACAAAATCTCCTCCAGTCCTGATGAGCAGGGGGCAAGATCCAGTAAAACCAATAAAGACCCGGAGGGGGTGAAAAATCACAGTTCTGGTAGTGATATCACCGAAGCTATGATAAAGAAAGCTATTGACAAAAGGGCTTCCTATTTTAGAGAGAACTCAGAGTATGTCTCCTTGACCTGTCATTGTTAATCTCCGCTGTTACTGTTTTGAAAGCTTTGCGATGGCCAGCAATTACTAATATCTCGCTTGAGTATAAGCATCTACCTTTACCTCATGACATAAGCACTGTTAAGGAGTATTAGTATTAGTCTAGGAGTTCTATTAGGCTATGTTTCCTTTCCTTGTACCCCAAGTCATGTGTCATATATATATGCCCCATGGGCTATGTAAAAGATATAAGTTGCATATTTCCTAACATGGTATTAGAGCCTAGGTTTAGGTCTCGGGATGTCGCAACTCGTCCTCTCTCCCGATCAAACTTTTTTTCCGATCTGTGTCACGATCCGCACACCCCTTGTGCTAGTCTCCTGACTCCTCTCCCGATCGATATTCTCGTCTTCCATTCCATGACCTGTGACGGCTCTCCCCTTTGACCCCGGTGGAACTCAGCCCAGCCGTCCCCTGCATCAACTCGGCTTCGATTGGATCGATGCGCCGCTGGACCTCTACGTACTCTCTGTTGGGCAGCCACGGGCTGTCTCCTGGATTGGGACCCTCGACGGCTGTCCGTGTTCTTCATCGACAAACGCTCCTGTGACCCCAGATCGAAGCCAGCCGCTACCCCATTGATGTCTCCTCATCCAGATAGAGCGACACCCGGCCGTCTTCTCAGCCTCCCTGCTCTCCGCTTGGGCCAGCGCTCGGCTGCGCACGAAGGCTGCTGCTCCAGCCGACCAAGATCAATCTGGCTGGACATGGTAACGCCCGCGGCTGCTTTTCGTCGCAGGACACGCCTGCTGTCTTCCGTCAACAGGGGTGTGAAGAGCAGGTGCCAGCTTGCTTCTTCCACCCACGTTGCTGCCTTCCTCCTTCAGGCTGGTTTCACACAGCTCTCCTCTGCTAGCGTGCATGCCTGACAGTTCACTGCACAGCGTGCTGCTCAATTTCTGCTGCTGTGTGCGCTGCTCTAGCTGTGTGCATCCACAGGCCTGCTCGCTTGCTGCCACGTGCGTGGTTCATCCTCTGCTAGTTTTCCTGGCTACTGCTGCTACTTGCGTGCTGCTCTCGCTGCTGCTTGGATGATGCTGGTCTCCTACATCTACTTCTATCTAGGGTGTTCCTTTTTTTGGCAGATTAGTTTTCTTTGTTTTCCGCTGCGTCCACCAAATCCGTTGAAATTTTGTATTTCTCATGTCATGTGTGTCCACCCAACTTTTATCCGTCAGCCTTTTTCTGGTCATTGTCCTCTCAGTAGGATTTCTGTGGCCTCTCTTTGCATTGCTGATCTAAGCCCATTATCTTGTCGCCGAGCTTATTTCGTTGTCGGTTTTCATGGGTCATGATTCTTTAAGCAATGCTTCATTCTCTTGATGTGCCATCTTCTTTTGACAACCCATCTTCTCTTGATATTTCTCTTGTACCTTCTATTGATGCGGTATCTTCCTCTGATGTGCCATCTCTTCGTTATCCCCTTTGACGACTCGACAGGTTTTGAAGGCATATTTCCTAACAAGCACATATGTCAGAAGTATTGGCGTGAATGTGATAATTTAAAATTGTAAAATTTGCTTCTGGGGGCCTGTAGAAAGTAAAAAGGGGTCAACCATTCCATTCGTGATAATTTTAGTTGGAAGACATTATTTCGTATTTCCATAGCATTGTGGAATATCTTTTCTTTTGGGTTTGGGTGTGTGTGTGTGTGTGTGTGTGTGTGTGTGTGTGTTCATATTGGAGATACAGTTTTCTCTTCCCATGACCAGTAAAAGATGATGCTTCATGGGTAGTAAACAGTTATGTTGCACATTGTCATGCTATAAAGATTTATTTCCAAAACAGGCAATATTACCGTCAGTTGGAACTTGTATAAGTGTCACAGCTGGTGGAAACTTAACATGGGAACTTGAAACGGTCAACGAGATTTAGCTGTTTGCAGTGATCTGATTATTTATTAGGAACCGTGATAATAACAGACTATTAGAGCATCTCCAACACGCGCTATATAAGCCGCGCGCTGAAAAAGATTACTATATAGCGCACGCGCGACCAAAAATAGCGCTCCAGCAGAAGCTTAAAATAGAGCACGCACAAAAACGAAGCTGCAAATTTAGTGCATGCGGGCTGCGGGGCTGCAAATTTGGGGCGCCGGCCCGGGTTGGGCGCTGTGTTTTTGTGTGTCTGGTAAACCTCCCGCATGCAAAAACGCTATTTCGGCGCTGCAAATTTTTTTTAGCGCGTCGCGCTAGCCCGCGTCTGTTGGAGATGCTCTTAAGTGCTCTAGCGTGTCGCAGGTCTTTTATCAAGCATTTCTAATAATAACTAGCATAATACCCGTGCGTTGCCACGGGCGACAAACATACGGAAATTGAACATTTGGTCAGAAGGTCATTAATTCTACTTTGCAGATTTTGACCACGATACATGTGCAAGTTTCATAGTTTTTTTGTTCAAAAGATGTCCTGCTAAGTAGACAATGGATATAATATCAGACATCTTAATCTTCGATAAAAAAACATAGAGGTAAGAAACTCCTACATCTATTGATAAAATAAAACTGCAATAAATTAGTCTAATTGAAACTATTATACTCCCTCCATTCCCTTATACAAGGCCACAAACTCATATTACAGGTACCAAGATAAAATTTAATGACTGCTTTGCAAGTCAATTTTCTCTCTCGTTAACTGGGATCATTAATACGCCATAAGCATGCAACGAATGAATGGGAAGGGAGTAGTTGAGTGTCATTATGACTACATGCATGTAAGTATTAAAAAGTTGCTAGTACGAGGAAACATCATTAATTTTTGTCAAGGTTACTGTTGGTGGCCTTGTATTGATGCAAAATGTATTTTCGATAGTGGCCTTGTATAAGGGAATGGAGGGAGTATCATTCCTACAAATTCAGTACTCCAAAATGACACTAATATGAACTTTAACTAATGTATTCATAAGAAGCGGCTAAGACTGACGAACTTTTTGACCAATACCATTCTGATTCGGGCATATTGTTAGCTCCTCCCTGGCTGATTCAACCTTGGTGTCTCCTTGTATTCTAGTAGACCAGACAAAGTAATCTACACAATGTATTTTAACTGCCAATGCCAGCAACTCAGTAGTCAAATATCTTACATATAAGGTGAAGACAGGTGACTCGGGATACCAAAGCATGCCCATATTTCATCGCATCGACGAAGGTAAGGCAGCAAAAAATGGCCTTGTCTCCAGCTCTGCCCTGATGTATGATGGGCTTCACTACGCTTCTGCTTAATCCTAGGCTCAATCTCAAGATCTGAAACAAAAAAGTGACTCAATCAACGCCTAGCACTGGGTGGTGAGTTATAACCTACTTTTCTACTTGTTCGTACATGAGAATAATATGATCTGTACAGCTACAACTATGACATGAAGAATCAAGGAGAAAAAGAATGAATCATGTCCATGTTAATTTGTGAGCAGTCTGATGTTTATCAAGTTTGCAACATGTACATCATAAAAGATTTATAGGCAAACACCAGAACACAAGATGTAAATTAGCTCTCTTGCAAGTTACCTCAAAGATAAATATCAGCTAAATTAATATGGCTACTCACTCTTAACTCGCTTATCCATGTATAAAAACATCTCCTGTTCATAGCTCACACCGGAGAACTCCTCCGCCCTAAACTGCCAGGTTCCTCCTGGTACACTAATAACACCATGGGGGCGCCCAAGCCCTAAATGCGTGCATAAGTGAGGCATTGTTGTGCTGCAAACATGGCCAGAAAGCAAGTGTGTGTCCACTAAATAACAGCCCAGCCGGATTAAAATAATGGATATACACTCTTATCATTAAACAAAGAGTAAAGTGCACTGTAGGTCCTTAAACTATTTCAGGGGTGTCACATAGGTCCTCGAACTAGGAAAATCATCATTCAGGTCCTTGAAGTACAGTAAGTATGTCATCCAGGTCCAAAATCTCACTAACCCCCTCTAAATGGTCAGCCGTCATGGTGAACAGTGTGAAAAATAAAAAAATATTAACAAAAAATCTGAAAATCTTTGGCATCGAAGATACCCCTGGTGCGTGAATAGTAAAAATGTTCATTAATTCAAAAAAATGTTCGCGAATATGGGAAAAATATTCGCGACTTTAAAAAAGTTCACAAACAATAAATTTGAAAATATGTTCGCGAACCACAAATATTGTTCATGGGTATGGAAAAAAATGTTCGTGAACCACAAAAATTCGTGACTTTAAAAAATGTTAGTGAACTTTTTATTAAAGTCGCGAATATTTTTTCCAAATTCATCGTTCGCGAACATTTTATTAAAGTCACAAATATTTTTTCCACATTCATTGTTCGCGAACTTTTTTTGAATTAATGAACATTTTTACTGATCACACGCCAGGGTATCTTCGATGACAGAGGATCTCAGTTTTTCGATATTTTTTGATATTTATTGTTTATCGTGTACTGTTCATCACGCACAGGAATTCAGGACTGTTTGCTGCGCACTGTTACGGTTACTGTTTACGTGCCAACTGGCCAGTTAGAGCGGGAGATTTTGGACCAAAATGACACACTTACTGCACTTCGAGGACCTGGATGACGATTTTCATAGTTCGAGGACCTACGTGACATCCCTGGATTAGTTCAAGGACCTACAGTGCACTTCACTCTTAAACAAATGTTGTGTGTCCACTACAGGTGCAGAGGTGCCATCCTTTCCCTTTAGCCGCCCAGTATACCTCTTCTTAGCATCGTCACCATCAACAACCTTGCTTTTGTTTGCCTAAAGCCATACAGGAAAAATAATGCCTATCAGGGTTGTTCAACCCTCAAGTGTTCTGTTCCATTGCCAATCACACGTATCACTTGTACCTACAGAGGGAAAATTACCATACGTCAAGCATACAAATCCAAAATGAAAGTCTGTTATGAGCACCATAAAGATAAAAATCATCCATAGCATTTCAGTGCATAGTTGCACACTCTTAAAGACAAAAGTTAGTTTCATACAGTGCATTACCTAGGAACACCATTTGGTGTACTGAGCATAACAATTCCAATTTATTCTATGGCTATGAAATGCCTAAAAGTGAGATTGCGACATGAAAGCAAGCACTCAACAAGGTGATGCCAGTGGTAAGCTCTCTCTGCCACTCCATTGTTGGAGCTTAACTCTTCCAAGCAGCAAAATGATCGATCTCAAGTTCTCAACCAGCAGGATAGCAACATTTAAGGTGTAGTTGTGCCTATTCATATGCCCGGCATTCACACCATGTTCACTTCGGCATTGAATCCTAAATTGATCAAATTTTAACATGTATCAATTCTTTGCCCTGGTTATTGAGTAACATTTCTCATGATTCACCATTTCTGATGTAATTAGGACATATTATGGAATAAAATGTCATGTGATTCACATATTCAGAGCGAGAATAGGAGGCTAGCAAAATTTCAGGGACAGTTTGGTGCCATAATAAAAGCCCCATAACCGGATCACTAAACCTACGGATTGACCATATCTAGTGAACAAGGGCAAGCATAGTTTTGCACAAATAAATGGTTGCCATACATGCACATGAAAGGCCCAAAAAATATAGGGCGAACCAAATAAAGAAGGGTTGAATCAGCAGTCTCACCATCGTCTCAAGGTTCTTCTACCTACGTCCTTCTCTCACCTCCTCCTGAGCAAACCCACCGCCCCATCCAAATCCATCTCATGCATTGATCGATCTCGCTACTAATCATCAAAAACCGAATTCCCACCCTGCCTTGTTGCTATAAATCCCATTTTCCCTTTCGATTGAGCTCCACAATGATCTAATTTATAAATCAATCTGGTATCCTTGTTTTGCTTTTCCACTTTTCCTCAAAACTAACCATATGAAACCCGGCATGGCCTCCAGATCCTCACCCTTCCAGCTTTCCTGATGATGGCCTTCTACATGGCCTACACAAATCTAAATAAGAAATATGATCAAACTAAAGAACTCCAAAAAAGATCAAAGCATGCGATGCAAGCAGGAGAGATAAATGGCACACATCCGAGCAGCTCACCACATTGGCAATATGTCCGAGCAGCTCACCACATTGGCAATACATCCGAGCAGCTCACCATAGGAGAGCTCTCTGAGGTACTTGGGGACGAAGATGGCGAGTGGGTGCAGCCTGTAGAACCCCGGCGTGGCAACATACACGGGAGGCTGCTTGACATGGCATGCTGCGAGCCTATGTCGAAGGTGAGGCTTAGTGTCGGCAAGATGATGCAGGTCTCCAGTCAGCTGATGGAGATGCGTTCCACGGGGTACCCATCGATTTCTAGCCGCCTTAGGCTTTACGGCTGGGGAGGGGTTTGGAGGAGCAGCAGCCGTGGAGGTCACCACCTCGTCAGACTCCGAGCGGGATTGAGGGCGAGGGAGGAGCTGTCGGCGGCGGCGGCCATCTAGGGGGGTTGGGCCTCTTGAGTGGGAAGAGGTGAGAGGGAGCCATCCGACTTATGAGGGATTAAAAACCCAATGGAGGAAAAACCTATTTCACGCGTAAAAGAAGGCAGGAGAAAAAAAATTGGAACGGAGAAGGTAGGGGAGGGAATCATAGGAGGGAGGAAAACCCTGGAGGCAAGGAAGCTAACGTACCAACTCCCATTTAATAGGGAAGATTGATTGCATTTGCATTATAAAGTACTCATCTTAAAGTGAATTATCAGGTACTGACTATTAATGTACGAGAATTTTTTTATCAAGTTTAATTATACACTTCAACATGTCTTGTTCTAATTATGCTTCAGATTTTTTCATAATTTCTAGGCATGTCTATTTTATCTTGCCAAAAGCATGTAGGTTTGTATTTACTTGACTTTGGTTTGAATGTTGGAGTCTGGATTAAATCTAAATGAGGAGAGCATAAGTGACTTTTTACATATCATTCCAACATCCATTTTACCTGTTTGTAGCGTGTTTGATTATTCAGCATGTATTCACAAAATGAAGCAATGCAGAACTCTTACTCTACTAGGAGTTCGACGGACTTTAGAAGAAGACCTCAAACTTGAGAGGAAAGCTTTGGATGCTTTTAAGGATTTTATTACGAAAGAGTTAGATAGAGTAAGTTTTAAATGTGCATTAGAAACATGTCTATTTGGTTAGCTCATGTGGTGTGATGCTTGAATTAGCTTTAGCTTAGAAAGACTTTTTTGACTGTGTTTCTCTTATTTCTCTGTATGATAGGTTTTGCAAGAACCTGAAAATGGAACAACGGATCATAGTAAACAGGAGGCTTGCAAGGATGCTGGTCAGAAAACAAGTAAAGGCTCTAAAAGAGCTCGTCAAGACTTTGATACCTCTGAACTAAATAATAGTCATAGTGAGAAGGAAGACAGTGATGAGGATGTAAGGCCAATAAAGAAGGTTTTTATTTGTTTTTTATGTTGGGTTCTGGATACTTGTTCTCTCAATATATTAGTTTTACCGTTTTTATATTTTGATTTCCACAGAAACAACAGGCAGCTCCAGCCCATGGCAAACGAGTAGAACGTCTTAAGTCAGTAATAAAATCTTGTGGAATGAGGTAATCCTTATTTTGGATACTTGAATGCAAGTTGATGCATTTTGAAATAATGAATTTTACTAATGTGTTTTCTTAAACTAGTGTGCCACCTTCTGTGTATCGGAGGGCAAAGCAGGCGCCGGAGAGCAAGCGCGAGGCTTGTTTGATAAAGGAGTTGGAGGATATGCTTGAAAAGGAAGGATTGTCTTCACACCCTTCTGAGAAAGGTCCAGTTCGTTGCTGAATTACTTATAATTATTACATGCGGAAGCTTCTGTTAGTTGTTTCTTTTTCTAAAGTTTATATGGGTAGCATTAGGATGTTAGGTAATCGAATTATTCTTTGTGGAGAACTCTCCTTGGGTGCAGGATCCAGCGGTGGGTGCACATGGTTGTGAATCTGCCCACCCGATCCGAGTCTCACTTCTACCTTGATTTAGAAATTGTGGTAATGAGTCTTGTCCCTTGCATCTTAAAACAGAAAAAGGAAAAAATACCGCGTGTTCGTCAAAACTATGAACATTATGGAAGGTGTTTGTTCCCAATAATAATATATACTGCATGACTGAATTGTGATGGGATAATCTCGTTCGAACTCTTTTACCTTGGAGAACTCTCCTTGGGTGCAGGATCAAGCGGTGGGTGCACAAGGTTGTGAACCCACCCACAGGGATCCGAGTTTCTGCCTTGACTAGCAAAGCGTTCGTGTGTTGCAATGAATAAAAAATAAACCACCACGTGCTCATGAATCTGAGAAACAACTTAGTGTACTTTTTATCACTCAAATATTGCATCAGTTAGATGCCTTATATTCTTGAATAGTATCTATGGCGGACCATCTCCAGGTAAATGATGAGTACATTCGATGAGCAAGAAATATATGAGATGCGTCAAAAAGCAGCAAGTAATAATGATGATCTAGAAACAGATTCTGGCCAAAAAACAGAGCACGAATGCTTTGCTAGGCTGATGGTCCATTGGTCTTCTGCATCCGTGCCTATACATACCTTTAACCCGTCGTTGGTGCTCCATCGTTCTTCTGAACATTCTTTTCCGGATCACCGACACAAATCATGTTGGCCATCTCCACAAAACACCACCAGTTGGATTTGCCCAAGCAGGTTTGAGCTGAGCTCCCACCATATTTTCCTTTCAATCAAGTCTTGTCTAAATCATCTAAATGCCTGCAAATAAAACATGCATCTTTGGTAACTTTTTCAACAATTGATAAAACCAAACCAATCTCATGTTAAACCATTTTCTTTCTGTAAATTATTCTAACAAACACATGGCAAGCATATTAAAAGGTATAAATCTCTGCCAAGCATTTTTATCGAACTCTCGATATGGGTAACTTGATGCACTGATAAAACAAACAGTAGGGAGGGGCAAGGAACGAGGCAACCTGGGATCTGAGAAGGCTGTTAGTCTAGTCGGCTTCAACAGATGGGATAGCTTCGTCCCTGTCCTCGCCACCCGTGGCTCTAGGGGAGTTGTGGTTTTGAGGGCAGCTGCTGCTGAGGTAGAACAGAAGGGAGAGTGGCTTCTCCGGCGGGACTCACCGGCTCCGGGGTGGAAGAGCTCTGAAAAATCGAACCTGAGATCGGCTCCAGCGGCTGTGAACATGGGCCATGGCAACTGAGCGTGAGGAGGGAGGCACAAAGGTCATCCCATCTCCTGGACTCACGACAAGGAAGCTGCAAGCCGGGAAGGTGACCTCGTTGGCGTCTTTGGCGGTGAAGGTCACCAAATTCCGAGGGGAAGACGGCCATGGGAGGTCAAGGCGCATGAACTTCTCGTGCATCTTCTTGCGGCGGCAGTTTGGAGGTTATCACGTGAGATGGCGGAACGCTTGCGGTGAGGTACGCCAACTTGCCATCCACTGCCCACCAGTCCGACTTCATCGCGGCCTATCACAGAGGCTGGGCCGCCATCTGCGACCATCCAGTGCCATCGGTGATGAAGCCACCTCAGTGGTGTGCCTAACGGCGCTGCGTGTGGATGTGGGAGATGGCGAGCGTCTGGCCCTGTGACCCTGTCTGGTTGTGCAACCAATCGAGAGCACGTTCCAGCCTCACCTGCGGTCCTTCTTTCCCCCTGTGTCCGCCTCCGATCTCCAATTCCGTTAGCACCAGAGAGGCAGTTACGAGAGCACAGGAGAGCTCTACATAAGAGCAGGGCAGTTGTGCTTCGGTGACGCGAGGACCCGGGCGTGTATGTTCTTTTTTTTTCTGTTTCTTTTTCGCCCTAACTGATCATGCATGTAGTTTTTCTCCTGATTTTGCGATGATATTTTTTCTCCCATTTTTTATCATGCGGGAAGGAAGGATCTCAGGACAGAAGACAAAACTCTCTCTTTATAGTAAGTAGAGATTTAGTAATAGTGCATTAGTGAGTCTTGAATCTTAAAACAGAATAGGAAAACTATCACATGTTTCTTAAAACTATGAACACTGTAGAATGTGTTTCCAAATAATAATATATGTGACTGAATTGTGATGTGGTAACCTTGCTCCTGAACTCTTTTAGCTGGTTATATATATTTTTTCTGTTGTGAGTGCTGCCTGGAGTTAATGTTTAGATTACTTGAAGCATGTCTATGTTACATGTAATCAGTTGACTTGCCTAACTGTTATGCATTTTTTAAACAGAAATTAAAGCAGTGAGAAAAAGAAAGGAAAGAGCAAAGGATCTTGAGGGCATAGACATGAGCAATATTATTACGAGTTCTCGTAGGAGAAATGCATCTAGTTTTATACCCCTGCCAGTGCCTAAAATTGAAGCTGATAGTGACAGCGATGATGATGATGATGATGATGATGATGATGATGATGATGATGATGATGATGATGATGATGATGATGATGATGATGATGATGATGATGATGATGGTGAAGAGGAGAATGTGGAGGGTGGAGATAAAGGTGACGACGACGATGCAGAAGCTGGAGATGGATCTGCTGATGGTATGATTCAATTCAATAGTTTGTAACATTTGAATTTACTGTCAACAGCATTGCTATTTACAACTTTCTTTACTGTTGTATTGAGGAGAAGCATCAATTGTTGTCTACATTAACTTTTTTGCGATGAAGTTTGAAAAAATTGAACTTTGAAAGATATGAACCTGGCAGGCAGCACTAGGTGGGGTTTTAAATGTTTTTATCACTTTTGCACCTATATTTATCTTCTTTTGTATCCTGCAAATCAAGTTTGATCCTAAAACTTTGTAGTGGCATAGAAGTCAAGACATTTTTAGTTTGAGAATTTCAGGAAACTTCACATCTGTTTTCTGTAGATTCCGACGCTTACTGGTAAAGGAGTGACCATGATTCAAATTGCCTAAAATATGTGTAGCTGTGTGAGCCACACAATCTAATGGGAAAAAAGATAACTTTTTGATTCAAAGGATTTCCATGGGAATTTTGGAGGGTTGAAATCCTTGGGGAATTTTCATGTGCCGGTCCTTTGATTCGTAGGTACTGAATCCCATAGGAATTTTTCGTAAGGATTCCATTGTACTACTACATTTCAGCATCGACTCAAACCTGTTGGAAAGAATCCTTCGCTTTTCCTGTGAAGCAATCAAACAAACCAATTTCTTGTAGGATTCAGATGGACATGACGTTGCAATCCTGTATTTTTCCTATTCCTGCATTTTAAGAATCTTGTGAACCAAAGAGGCCCTTAAGCATTTTCTTTGTTAGCGGTTTACTATTTTGTCATTCTCATGCTAAATCTACTAATGTAAAGCTTTATGCACTGTCTGAAATGCCCACATCTGTTTCTTACCAAGTGACAATTCTATGCATGTTCAGATGCTGGAAACGGGAGCGATTGACTCTTCTCGCGTTACTACAAGGTAGAAGGAAGTAGTTCTGGCCTTGGCTGGTTCGGGATGAAGCCAGTTGTTCAGAAGTTACTTTCTGGCATCTTATTTATGCTGCCGTTAATATGGTCACTACTATATTATTGGCTGGTCTTATTTATATTAGACTAATACACCAGGCAATCAATTGCTGTAGTCCCTTAACCTAATGTATAATATCAGGCGTGTTATCTTGGCAGCTGGCTCAGATTCGTGTGTTCATGGTAGTTTGAAAGCTACATCAACATTACGTTTGTTCGATGTATGTGTGACGTACCAGAAGTCGCATCTTATCGGTTTTGAGAAATTGTCATGTCTGGTGCCCACTCGTGGTGATTTTGTGGCTAGGGATTATTCGTGGCATTCCTTGGCGTAGTCATATTTCGTTTAGTTTTATGGCTGGTCTGATGCAGGCGAGGAGCTCCGATGTTCTTCGTTTCTTTAGCAACAAAACTTAGGGAGTGTTCGGAGTCCCTCCGCTCCCAGACTCGGCTCTGCGGAGCCGGTGAAGTTGTAGGCTAAAATATTGGAGTTGGAAATTAGGTGCTCCGCAACTCCTCTAATTGGCTAAAATATTGGAGTTGGAAATTAGGTGCTCCACAACTCCTCTAATTCCATGGATTTGGTGGATATCCGAACAGGGCCTTACTTTACTGAACTCTTTTAATTCCATGGATTTGGTGCAGGGCCGTCCCATGGATATACGGGGCCCCAGGGCAATAAAAGAATGAGGGGCCCTTCTTGAGACATGCTAAAAGCTCAGTTTTTCTTTTCAAAAGTAATGTAATATGGATATCCAGTATATAGCATAGATTGGTGATCTTTCGACTCTAAGACTGGCAGTACCACTATTTATCAATCAAGAGAAATGCATCGGTATAGTAATGAAATAATATAGCTCCACAAAATATCGATTTCCTAATTGTCAATAGAGACATCAATTTTTTGGCACAACAAATAACCTTGTAAAAACTGGTTGCTACTTAATCATTTGTGTTACCATGTACATATGTTCTGGATCCTCCCCCAATCTGCCATGTTCTGGTACCCAAAAATTCATCACCCAAATAATAATTCACCTCTTCCAAACTATCCTACATACGGCATAGCAAAGCAAACTGTGTATTTCATGTTAATACTATGATGACAAATGGAGATTCCCTAGAAGAATTCTAGTTTTGTAGAAGTTAACAGTAATTGTCCCTTTTGAGATTATACTACTAGTAATTTCTTGAAGACAAGTCAGTAAACAAGCTGCACAAAAAATGGTTAATACAGGGATCAAAAGCACCTGGATATTGATTGATGTGGATGTAGATGCCTTGATCCGTACGCCGCAGTAGTCAGCACTAACAAAGAAGACGACACCATGAAGTGGATGAAATTTCTCCCTTCTCCTAGACTACTGCCTGAGCCTTCTGACATTTGGATCCAATGAAGAGCGGAAGAAAATCCATGGAGATTAGCGGATCTGCGATGTTTGAATCATGCGTAGAGCTATTTATCAACGAATCTTTGAATTGAAGAACGAGATTATAGGAAAGAAGAACATGTACTTTCCTGGTCGACCAAAGTCTAGGAAACGGCCAGAGTGTTGAGAAACGAAGGAGAGCTGATTGGGGAATGATTTGCGCCGTAGATATCCATTGATGACTGGCCACGACTTTGGAATCGGAGCGGGGACGCCGAGTTTGGGATTTGGCGAAGCAGAGGAGTCGCGGGTCTGGGGTCCAGTGCAAACAGATTGATTATCGATGAATTCCTTCGTGAGGTTTGCCTAATGGGCTTTTCCTTGCACGGTTCCTTGGAGAAAAATCGTGTATTTTCTTTGGGCTTCATGAAGGTATACTATCTCGGCCGGGGCCCCTGCCTCCTCGGGGCCCAGGGCGGGCGCCCCGTTTGCCCGGCCTATGGGCCGGGCCTGATTTGGTGGATATCCGAACAGGTGATTAATGACGGGACTATGCAACGGTGCCGCACACTGTGCACTAATCCGTTGCAGGACGAGCCCAAAAATGCCAAACCCTGTATTCACTAATTAAAAGTAGAACGGGCGCAAAAATCTATGGCAAATAAGCAAAAGGGCATGCATCCCGATTCCGGGTCCCATTGCTGAAAAAGAATGTACAAAGATTTTTAACAGCACAATGCAAATTTATTCAGAACACAGGGGATGTGATGACAGTGGAAGCAATGGCTATGCTTGACGGTCTAGTTTTGGCAAATGCTATGAGCTTTAGTAGGATTGAAGCGGAGTCTGATTCTCTCACCGTGGTGAATTATTGCTAAGGACATAACCAATGATGGGATGTAGCAGCGGCGATTTTTGCAGAATGCATAGATTTGGCAACGTTAGTAGGAAAAGTCATCTTCAAGCATTGTTTTCGTGATGCAAATTCTGTAGCACATGAGCTAGCTAAGTTCAATTTTCGTAATAAGTGTGATGATAGTTGGACTGATGAGCCAGTTGGGTTCTTAATTAGCCAACTAGTAAACGATGTAACTGTTTTTTAAGTTAATAAAGCTAACTATGATAGCCTTTCCCCAAAAAAGAGATGAGTTTGACCATATTTCCAAGGAGATATCCATCTTGAGCTGTTTTCCTATGACTCAAATAAAACCAAGAAATCCTTGAGTCTTCGAAAAACCAATGCCTTTTTTTCCTTTTTGAATTAGGGGGCCATCCATCTCCTCCAAAGAACACCGAGCAACCAATGTGCTACGACACATGATAACCGACATTAGTCCTTACTTAACCCATTGTCATCGACACCAAAATATCATTGAGAAATCAATGCACTTTCAATCTGGTGAATTGATGACACTACGGTTAGAGCATGGCCAAAAAGATAAAATGTATAAATGATGCCATGCCAGACTACAAATATAGGAAGCTCCCCCTTAATATGCGTAAATAAACAACTAATGCTTGAAATACACTTTGCGCATAACAAAGGAGCTCCCCCTATATCAATAGACAAGTGCAATGATATGAGTGAAGCATATAGCAAAGAACACATTGCACAAGCTGGTAAGTGTCCATAAAGATCAACAACGGTGCACAAGGTCACAAACTATAGGTGTGCTGTGAGAGGGGAAGTAGAGATGATATGATATGAATAAGATGCCATGGGTATGAAGAATAGTACTTCTCCCCGAAAAGATATGTTTCAGGAAGTGCTACACTTAGGAGAACACTAACTACTTGATATTTTATAGTGAGAGATCAACCTAATAAAAATGACTAGCACGCAATCAAAAGGGTGCAAAAATAAGGGATATACATCTCAGACAATTCATAATAGCATGATATGGTATAGCACCTTCCATTGGAGAAGTTCTCTTCGTCTTTGCAAAATTTCAGCAAAAAACGTTGCCGGACAACAATTTTAACAAAAACAAATTTCTACCAAAACTGCTTGCTTGTGGCAAACTAAAATGTTGTCGTGGCAATTTCAAAAATTACTGCCATGGCCGTAGTTTCTTTAGGTTTTCTTCTTTGTCTTCTTGTACGACCTTCTGCGTCGGGGTCCTCCTCCGCAAACTTGTCACCACCATATGTAACTACTATTTTATCACTGCTATCTCTATGGCTACTATATAAAAATTGCATTACATAAAAGTTGACACGCAGGTCATTAAAGTGACAATCATATGGCTCCAGCCATCAAGTCATACCATAACAAGTAGGTTATGTTAAATATTACAACATATAGATATCTCATACAAATCTCATCAATATGACGAAGTGCAAGGATCGAGAAGAGGGGTCTAGAGGGGGGGGGGGTGAGTAGACCCTTAAAAAGCAAAAGTGGCAGTTTTTAATTTCTTCAAGTTAAGGTGGAGTTTAGCACATATTAAAGCACACACAATACATTTCAAGCAAATATGACAAGAGCATAGGCAGCGAAAAAGGTAAATCATGCAATTTGCAAGAAAGTAAATGGATGAGATTGGAGTATGCAAACACGATGGAGATGCAGAGAATTTTTGGCGTGGCTCCGATAGGTGGTTGATGCGTAGCATCCTATGGACATCACCATGTCAAGAGTCCGTTCGGCGAGTGACACGTGCGACATCTACTTCACATACACAAAGGTGAATCATCTCCTTTTACACCTGCTCACTTGACCCCTTCGAGGATGGTATACTACTTGACACTCCACGCGTGTGCATACATAGGTATTGTCGGAGCACCACGGATGACGAGGAGGAGTGAGAGTGCAAGTGTACAACTACACCATCCGCGAGGGAAGCATGGAAGAGAAGACGGAAGAAGATGATGCTGCTGAAGCTACAACGACCGGACATCCGGGCCAAAGGCCAGACATCCGGCGCCTGTGCAGCCATGCAGGAGCTGCACCAACAGACGGCCGAAGCATCAGCGACCGAACATCCGGCCCGTGTGTCGGGACATCCGGTGCAACGCCACAGCTTGGACATCCGGCGTGAGGCACCCAAAGCCATAAGGTCACCCTGCTCGGGCCGGACATCCGACCAACTGCCCTGGACATCTAGCGTCTCGCGAGAGCCCAGACATCCGGCCCCCAGCCCGGACATCCGGTGCCTGCCTGCGCGCAGAGTCAGGCCAGAGGCCCATGTATCCCCTCCTCACTTACCCCTTCGTGGACTAGCGTATATATACTCCTTTCCCTTCCTCTAGTTAGGGTTAGCAAAGGATTAGCTCATTTGATATAGAGCTTTGCTCATCCATATGGATCTACTCCACCGAGAGAGACCGCGGCCTCTACGGAGAAGATCCATCTTGGATTCAAGACCCCTCACGGGGAGATCCGTCTAGGATATCATCAAGACCTCCTCACGGAGATGAACTAGTTACCATTTGTATCATCCTTTGTTGACTTTGGATCGTGTATCTCTTTGTGTTTCGTGGATCTAGCACATGTGTGATCGTTTCTTGTTGATTTGAGTGTCCCCTCTCGTTTCCCCTCGTGATTTCCCTCGTGTTCTTT